CTAGTATAAGGTGGGGAAAAACCACTTCAGATTATGGTTGCCTAAGCAGCCAGCCACATGTCCACCATGGAAACCAAAAACTCATGGAGTTAAAGTTACAATTCTTACCCCTCTATGTCTTGCCATGGAATGACTCAAGCAATAATATAATGCAAAAGTCCAACCAATGATACAATAAAGACCAGAAAATATCACATTGATAGACATTCCCTTGTCATCCCATAGGTTTAGAGAGAGTTTCTGTTCTCTTGCATTTACCTTTCATTTCAATTTAATGGAAAATAAACCTTTTGCGAATTAGGTACCATCCAGCTCACTAAGCTAGAAAATTTTAAGCACTTGGACCCTGGAACTCCCTCAAAGAGGGACCCTAGATGGGTCAAACCCCTCCAGATTGCATAAAGCTTAATACAAGATGAAAAGCCCACAAAGTACCCAGATTCACATGAAAACATTCAAAGAGACAAAGGGAAACACCAAAGACATACTTTATCCAATAAACGTGCTGTTGTTTGAGGAGGAGGGCATTTGATCTCAAACTTTGCACATGCATCCGCCAGATACTTGTTAGCTTCATCACTGGAAAAGTCCTTGGGTATGTTGAGATTGGCCATCTTCTCTAACTCCTCTACCATGTCAAGCCTCCTGTAAAAATTAGTGACAAATTTATAAGCAAAAGTCACTTCCAAAGGCGTTTTATGTTTGTTCACATTATGAGTGAAGTGATCCATAAACCTGAAAGGTGGAGTGAAATCGATCTCAATTGGATCATTATCAAGGCCATTTGCATGATATTTAATTTTATAGCTGCCTGTAAGTTCCTTGACCATCCCTGTTGCAGATTAATCAAGTCAGAAAAAACCCAACCAATTTGGAAATGATAAAATGAGAAGAAAATCAACAGAAAGGAATCTTCCAATCTCAAGCCATGTTTGTTACTTACCACTCAACATTTTTTCAGTGAGCTCCATCAAGTCATTATAGTCTGCAAAAGCCATATAGAACTCACAGGTAGTGAATTCAGGATTGTGAGTTAAATCAATGCCTTCATTTCTAAATTGTTTTCCAATTTCATAAACACGATCCAGTCCACCAACTACTAGCTCCTTAAGATATAACTCGGGTGCAATACGCATGTAGAGCTTCATGTTTAATTCGTTGTGATGGGTTACAAATGGACGGGCAGCTGCACCTCCAGCAATCATGTTCATCATGGGAGTTTCAACCTAATGATGAATTGTGACATTAACAAAACCCCCACTAAAGAAAGAGATACAGAAAAAAATACAAAAACTGATAATTTGATACATTGAACAGATGACTAACCTCCAAGAAATCAAGACTGTCAAGGAAGCTCCTTATATAAGAAATTATCTTAGATCTGGTCCTGAATATTTGACGAACCTCCAGGTTTAACATCAAATCAAGATAGCGTTGGCGATATCGAGTTTCCTAGCATGAATAAAGAATATAGCCCATATAAACCCAAGTGATTTCAGAGGAGGAACAGGAATTGACACTGTAAGACAGATAGAACAACTTCCCCAGCTTCCATCTCACAATTTTGAGCCTACTAGCCAACAGGATGCCAAAACAAAAAAGGCAAGAGGAAAAATATAATAACTGTTACGTGTGACAAGATCAGTTGCTACATAACCATCCCATTCTTCATTTAAAATAAACAACGTTACAATTGTCTTGATGTAATTGTTGTTGAAGTTTACCGCAAGCTCAATTAACACATATTAGCTGGCATGTTAAGCAAGAATACTAAAAATCACACAGTCGAATGGCAGGAAACCAATAGAATTTCAACATCCAGAAAAGCTTCTATCATTAAATTTCAAATAATACCTGATCCTTCAAAATATATGTTTCAGGATTCCTGGTACTTCCTGGGACCCATGCATCAGTTTTCTGCAAAGAAATGAGAAAACATAGTCATCAACAAAAGATCTTAACAAGAACCAGACAGTCACACCAAACATTTGTTTACCTTCACATTGGCATCAGGACCTGCTTTTTGCCTTGGCATCATATGGAGACAATGGGATAAAACTACGAATGACTTCGGAAAGATGCTCAGCTCCCCTCTCTTAGTTTTTCCTAAAAGAAGCAAATAACAAAATTTGAAAAGCGAAAAACAAGGCTACCAGGATAAGAAAGCTTCTAGAAAATTGTCCAGTTTAACCCAAAAAAAAAAGAAAAAAAGATTGTCAACAGAGGTAGGTAGAAAATTTCAGAACATCTTTTACAACATGCAGCTGGAAACGCTAACTAAGAAGCTCACTCCAAAAGAATTTAAACATGGAGACATCCTAGAACTCATCCGCCAAAAAGAATGAAGACTACAAGAATAGAAAGAAGTGATATAACATCATGATGGACAATTACAAGTCATACAAATTTTACTATCAGTTTGAATTTGTACTCTCTGCCTCTCATGCCAGCATACAATTTGAGTTCGTACTAAAAGCTTGGAGAAATCACACAAATAATTTGGGGTCAGAAACATGGAAGTTCAACCAGAATCAGAAGGTTTATTAGTCCAAATCATTAATGTTGCATTATTCTCAACATATTAAGAACAAAAATACTTAAATCAACAGGAAAAGATCCTAGATGTTAACTAACAAAATTGTACTCCCTCTGACCCAAATTTTTGTCCTTTTTTGACTTTCTGAGGTCGTTTTTTCAATTTTTACCATCAATATTTCATATATTCTATTGATTTAAATCTTTTAATATATATTTGAAAACAATTTATTTAATTTTTTTTTAATTTATTAAAAGTTTAATCAATAGTATATTTATGCTCCATACAGCCAACACTCTTTAGTAGGAAAAGGCTTACTTTGTTTTTGTAAATAATAATAAAGTTAAATATAAAAACCTAGGATAAAACAGAGTTTGACGTGAAAAGACAAAACAAGACCAACATGTGGCAATAAAGAGAGTCATTTATAATTTTCCCAACCTGGAAACCCAGTAACACCGACTATATCACCACGCTTCACACTGGAATGGAATTTTGCAAATTCAGATTCATCCAAGCCTGATTTGCTGCAGTAACAGAAGAACAAAAATATAAAGAGAGGCATGAGGGTGGAGTTGGACAGTGGAAAGAAAGGAAACAGGACAAGAGAGGCACATAACCAATCATCAAAATCGACTAGAATAAGTTCATGGGATATGAAGGTAATGCCACCAAAATATTTAAGTTAATGTATTTAAAATCAATGATATTGAACCAATCTATTCATTTGCATACACATGATAAACACACACAGATTTTCAGCAGATTAAAAATTTATCTGATTGCTTAGAAATAGGATAACACATGAATTATACTCACAGGAAATTATTTAGGGCATAGAGGAGAGCAAATAAAACATCATATCATAATAAAATCCCGACCACTGATCCTATGGCTGGCAAGAGAGCCAACCAAATATCAACCATAGCATTTAATGTGGTTAATACAAGACTGCTTTTAGATCAGCAAGAAAATCTTTCAAACATTAGTCATAGCCTATTTGGAGTTAGATACACATGCAAGCGTTTCTAGTAGGTCCATGCATACAAATAAGAAGGACAAGTTAAAAACATCAGCATAAGGCTTTGTAAATCTTCTTCACACAACGTGCATGGCAAAAACATATTGCAAACCAACTATAATTGCTTATGCCATCCTGTGTTTTCTTCTAAAACAGCCTCCACTTGAGGGGGAATCATGTATCATAACAAGATTCGAAACCGGAAACGATATACTGTAATAAATATACATAAAGTATTCAATAGATGCTCAATTATTTAGCTTGATGATGCACCTAAAAAAATGTAGCTTTTCCAGTTGCGATGAGTGTAAAATGCAGAGAAAATCAAACATCATGGATAAGTTAAATTGTTATTACCTCGAAAAAGAAATAAGAATATACAAGTCCTATGGCAAAAATGGTTATATACCTGGCATCAGTCATAACTTGGACTTTGGCACCATCACCATGCAAGTCGTAGAAAAACAGCTTTGAACTGGATGATCTTTTGCTCATAATTCGCCCTACCATAAAAGAAACATGATATAGCCATTTCAAAAATAAATAAATGAAAAGCAGCCATAACGCATTGGATGATACACAATGGGAGTAGGAGTGCTTGATTTACATACCAGCCAAAGATACTGAGACATCCTCAATATGTTCCCCGTTACCTAAGCTTCCATATTTATCTATATATTCAATGATAGACATCGACGGGAAGAACTTATGAGGATATGGATTTTTTCCCTCTGCCTTCTGGCCTGCAAGAAATTTCAGCCTATTCTCATGGAATTGCTGCCAAGAAAAGGCTTAATTTTAGCATTATGTCCAAGAAATTCATTGTAATCTTTATGTATTTTGCAATGTGCAAAGCATTACTATAGCAATCAGTAAACTATACCGTTGGATCCATATCTTCATCATCAGCTCCTGCATGTTTCTGACTTTGTGAGCTCACCTTGGCTGCAGCCTGAAGAAAAATATAATTTGGTTACCAAAAAGATGACCATCAAATGGTAAGATGTTCAGCAATCACAATGAGGAAGAGAATATGGTCATCTATTTCCAGTATTTAAAAATAGTTACAAGCTATCCAACAAAGCCTACAATTATTATGCATTCTAATTCTGCATCTATCAATTATTATGATCAGTGCAACCATAGAAGTTTGGCTTTGTTTCTAAAACTCTGCATTGAAAGCATTAATATGTAGTTTACATATCTAAAACTCTTCATTGAGTGCATCAGGGTTAAGTAGCCTTATAAACTTCCTCTTACCACCAAAACCAAAAAGAAAACAGCTGAGTAGCCTCTCCTTTTCCACATATCTTTCAAGTAAAATATTTTTTAACAAATCAATTCTTTTAAGAAACTGACTAGAATCATTCGATTCCGGGATAATAAGTCACGCAAGCATCCCTCAGTGTCCTCACATTCTGTTAGCTATGCTTTATAGCCACATATGGAACAAATTGGTTAACAATAATTAAGGCTTCTTTCAGTTGTTACATTTACTACTTGCGTTTGGACTATTTACTTTTTACTTTCTCAAAATCGTTAAAAAGAAAAGCAAATAGTAAAAATCTAAAATATAACATCTAAGAAATACAATTTGGCTTTTCGTCAAATACGGTTTTTTTTTTAAAAAAAAAATTTGATTCCCTATTTTAAGGAAACAAAATAGTAACTAAGCAAATACAAGAATATAACACCCATTCAATCAAAACAAAATTGTTAAATCTCTTTTCGTGGGAAATTATAATTCTTTTGCTAAAATTTTGTTATTTGAATGCATATTAATTTTTTTGTTAAACAAATGGCAAAAATAAACATGCATCCAAAATATATAATCATTCCATGTAAAACTAGAACCATACATTTATTATTAATAAAAAAGAAGATAATTTTAAATTTCTAGCATTCAAAATTTAGTTCGCTTTTGTATCGAGGTTCACATTTAGCTTAATATATACAATAAAAATAATTTTTCTAAAAAAATAAAACAGTTAATTACCTGTTTGGCGGATTTTTCCTCCTCCTTTCGGCGACGCTCCTCTTCCCTCTGCTTATTTTTAAGCTCCTTCTTACGGGCACTGTCAACACATTTTATATAAAATAAATAACAATGAGATTGATGATCAAAATATCCGATTGTTTCTCTATGATTTCCTGCTAATGTTCTCATGAGCCAAACAAGTATGCAGCAAGAGAGAGAGGAAAGGATACATACTTTTTGCTCTGAGTTTCACCGTGAGCTGTGGAATCCATTGCTAAATCGGAAACTGCTTTTGCCGTTTCTTCGACGGAGCCTTCCATTTTGAGAGAGTGAGACAAAGAGTGGCTTGCAGATAAAGCGAAATGTTAAGCAACAGTGCGACGGAAGTGTAGAGCTAGGGCTTTAAAACAAAAACCCAAACCGATTGCCTTTTTTTATTTTTCGTCAACTTTCACTCAGGACTGTTACTGACTTACTGGGTAATTCTTTCGATACTGTACCAGTAAACCAAATCAAAAAGTAAATATTAATTTTTAAAACATTTCTTTTTTTACTTAATATTTAAAAAATATTAAATTATTTAAAAATTAAATAAATTCTTTTTTAATATTTTTTTATTTTAAATAAATAAATTATTATAATTAATAATTAATTAAATTAATTAAAAATTTTCATTTTACATTATGTGATAGTGATTTAATATTTTAATATATTATAATAAATAATAATTTAATATATTAAAGGTGACATAATATGTGATTATAGAATTATATTAATATCTTATTAATATTATATTATATAAAATAATAAGTAATATATTAAATTTATTAATTTTAAAATTAATTTTTTTCCTGAAAACCCTTCATCTAAAAAAATTATCAAAATTATAAAAAAAAATTTATGATTATATATTTTTGTAATTATTAATATGTTTATAGCAGAAATTACAGTAATGCCATCAAATGTGATCTATCACCAACTGAAACTCCCATTCAAATAGGTCCAGTCTTTGTCTATCACACAAGATCCAAACCCTTCAAAGCTACAGATTGTCAGATCCGCAATTTCGAAGGTACCTTTTACTCTCTTACCGATTTACCTTTCCAATTGATGTTCTTCAGTCCCTTTTGTTTGTTTCTTTTTCTATCTGTTCATTGTTAATCCACTCTATAAATCACTTGCTTTTGTTGATCCCTACTGAAACTTTTTAGTCTTAAAAACCATTTTATCTGTCTGCGTTTTCTTGTTTTGTAGAAATTTCTATTCTTTTTTAACCATATCTAACACTGCATTTGGTTTTGCCTGTTCTATTGACTACGTTGTTTTTTACTTTTTAAATATATTTTTCTCTTTTTTCTATGTTGGAAAGAGAATAATTTTAATTTTGTTTCTGGGTGGGGTGGTTAGCTATTTGTTATTGAGATTTATAAGATGTTTGCTTGGTTGGGTATGTTGGGTATTTGAAACATCTGTTGTTAGTTGGTTCTGAATCTAATGCTCTATTTAAAGGAAATGGGAACTCGGGCACATTTTACTCTATTAGTATGCTGTTTAATTGTTTAAAAAATGGAAAATTTTGCTGCCTCCGTAAAGAATTTACTCTAAATCATTTCTAATCACAAAGTACCAAACCTGGCTGGGTAATATACCCAAGTGTTTTTTGAACCAGGCCAAATTGGCTATCATATCTGGCTTGAACATTTTTTGGCATATTATTGATAAATGTTGAGGTAATAATGTGGTTCTACTATCAATCTTGGTGCTTAATTGTTGATGTGCAAAAGAAGGGATGGTGAGAGAAACTCTGTACTAACTTCTGATTATAGTATAGTGTGAAAGTAGAGAGGGTCTAGTAGTAGTGGAAAGAGAGTTCTCCTTTAGGGAGATAAACTTACCATATATATGGTAAGAGAAAAATTTTCATAATGCCCTTCGTATAATTTTTCCCACAACACTAGCCCCCAGTTCACAAGCCTGGGCTAGCATACGTTGACCAAAGGAAGTAAACGTCTAATGCACTCGGCCAGGTTGCTGAAGAAGTTATTTGCAAATGTGGTTATCTTCTTACTGTTGTTGCCTGTGCAAGGTTCAGTTAAGAAACATCAGAGGCTAGAAGTTGGTTTTTTTTGTACAATCTATGGCTAGTTGAGTTAGTGTGTTGAAAGATTCTTAAGGTCGGAAATTTCTAAGTTGGTGTTTGGCAAAATTTGGTGCTAACCTATCTTTATGCTAGTGTATATAGCTCAAAGAAAAAGATAGTTGTAATTTATTATTCCCTAATTTATTATTCCCTTTTGTAGGTGATAAACATGTAGAGAGAATATTTGTATTTCATATATTATTCATATCTTTAGAGTACTTGCACTTCTTACCATATTGCAGAGAGATTTGTATAATTGTCAAGGGTCATTGAAGTTGTCATGTGAGACTTAGTTTTGATCAAGAAAGTTTGTAAGAGTGTTATTTTTTTTGAAGCTTAGTGTAGAATATTTGCAATAAATTCTTATTTTTGGTAATGAAGTCAAGGTATTCCAAGCTTTGCTATCTTATTTGGAATGCTTACTAACCATTACTTCTCAAACCTTAAGAATCTTTCAACATACTACCTCAACCAGCCATAAGTTGTAAAAATAAAACCAATTTCTAACACCCCGTGGACCTATCTTGCGAATCTTATACTAGCAACAACATTAGGAAAACACCAACAATTTTTCACATGAAGGCCGTTGACTTTTCTTCTCTTCACCTAACCTTCTAGCTCAGGCTTAGAAAGGGCTAGTGGGTGAAAATATACTATGGGCATTATGGTAATTTTATAACTTTGTTCCTATATATGGTAAACTTGCCTCCATAAAGGAGGGTTTACTCTTTTCTACTTTCTCTCTATCGTCCTCCTCTTTACTAACTTAATTGTTAGAGAGTTGGGATAGAGTTAAACTCTGA